TTAGATGACTTATTTTATGTGTCAACTTAAAAAGCCCTATCAAACCACGAAGACTTAGGTCTATTCCTATTCTGTTTTAAATCAATGTTGAAATTGGTACAATTGGTACAACACAGGGATGGACGTGTCATTTATTACGCGTCATAAGTTGAATTAACAACGCGTCCAAAATTATAATAAAAGACACCACGACGAACCTCAATTTCCGACACAAGTGTATTTACGACACTTAAGTAACCGATGCTTGGCGAGGGCGAGCTTACACTGCTCCAATGCTCCTAAAACAGAGACCCAACCCAGTGTGAAAATTCAAAACTTTTCAGCTTGCAACGCAAGCGCCTATCAACCAATAACTCAAGGTGGTGACTGGACACTCTATTAAATAATGAATAATTAATAAATAACACAAGCGCCTAACACCAGATGACCCAGGGAATCTACTGGCTACTTTAATAATTAATAAAATGTTAAACAATATCACAAGCACCATTCAGCCTATGACCCAGGGCGCTTACTGGCTACTCTATTAATTAAATAAATCTTTATTAATAACAAGCGCCTGTCACCTGATGACTCGGGGCGCTTACTGGCTATTTTATTAAATATATTTATTGTAATAAAAAATTTATTTATAACTAAAGTGCCTATCACCAAGTGACCCGAGGCGCTTACTGGCCACTTTAATAATTAATCAAATGATAATCAATAACACAAGCGCCAATCAGTAGGCAACTTAGAGTGCTTACTAATCGCTTTATAAATTCATAAAATGAAAACTAATAACACAAGCGCCAATCACCCGATGATTATGGGCGCGTACTGGCCACTCGATTTGATAATACAATGTTAAAAAATAACACAAGCGACAATCACCCGATGACCCAGGGTGCTTACTTGCCACGTTAATAATTAATAAAAGATTAATTGATAACTAAAGTGCCTATAACCAAAAGACCCGGGGCGCTTACTGGCCACTTTACTAGTTAATAAAATGTTAAACACTAACACAACTGCGAATCATTAGAGAATCCAGGGCACTTTCTGGTCGCTACATTAATTAATTAAATGGTAAACAACAACACAAGCGCCTATCACCAAACAACCTAGGGCATTTACTATATTTGCTTTATTAATAAGTAAATCATTGAATGATAACACAAGTGCTAATCACTAGGCAAATCGAGGCGCTTACTGGCCACTTAATAAAATTAGACCTTGGTTCGTTTGGTGATTAGCATTTGTGTTATTTTCAACATTTCATTGCTTAATAAAGTGGCCAGTAAGCGCCCCGGGTCAGCGGGTGATAGGTGCTTGTGTTATTAAATGTAAATTTATTATTTAATAGAGTGGCGAGTCAGCACCCTTCGTTATAAATTTTACACCCTTTGTTATTATTAGGTTATTGGCGTTTATGTTGTAAGCTTAAAAGATTTGAATTTTCGTGCTGGGTTGGGTACCGGTTTTATGAGCACTGCACTGCTCTTTAAATTTAATATAGTGATATTTGTACAATTTATTCATAATAGTG